CGGGACTTACATTTCATGTTAGAAATTTAGTTAATTAATCTAGTTTGTAAATAAATAATTTATGTTTACCAACCTCACTGCATTAACCCGGATGCCTTTGGGCCCCAGTTCAGCTGCCATGCATTTAGTAAACATATCCAGGGCACTTTTTGTTATACAATAACCAGTTAGATTCGGGACCTATGCATTTAATTTAGTTAATAATAGTTTTATTAATTATGATGTAATATCATTACTGTCATATTTGCGGCAATGCTTGAGATGTTGATAATATTTCCTTTGGTTTTTATTAAATAGTCGGCCGATAATTGTGTCAATACAACGGTTGACTTAACATTAGTGGCAAACATTTGGTCAAGAGTTTGGCCAAAGTGTGAGTCAGTTATACCGGCGTTGAGACCAAAACCCGCGTTATTGACCAAAACGTCGAGTCTATAAAACGCCTTAACCGTAGAGTCGATGAGTTGTTTGCAATCGACTTCTTTGCTCACATCTGCCGTCACTTCCAGTGCTGTCAACCCATTGGGCGATACGTCTGAGCACTGCTTCCCCACAGCACTGACTCTCCGTGGGTTACGTCCGGTCACCACAACCTGTGCTCCCGAACGGGCGAACCCAACAGCAGTGGCCGCACCGATGCCGGCGCTCGAGCCCGTGATTAACACTACTTTACCGCTAAAGTTATATACAGCGGACATCACAGTACTAAAGGGTACTTTTAGATAGTAAATAATTTGTGATAATAAAATATAAATAAAAATTAAATTTTTGTGTTATTACTACATTGTTTAGTAAACTTAAGTTAGTGTTTTAATTAATCATTGAACTTGGTTTTATCAATTTTCTTAGAATTTATCAAAATTATTTATAGATTGTTGAAATATGACATATGCAATCTAATACTTGATATGATTAACCATCGTATGACTATTGGGTATATTTGCACAAGCTAAACTTATTTAAACATTTAATTATTGTATTTTAAGACATTCATTCCTAAATATTAGTTACAAATTAAAAATATTGTATTTTTATTAAAAATTTAAACTTATTATAATGTCGTCCCGACTCTTCAAGACTTGGGGTATGTATTGATTAATTGTTGGAAAATATTTTATTAAATATTTTATCATATCTAATAAAGTAATAACATTTCAAAACTGTAAATTTATCTCAATGTACTTGAATGTACCAAGCCACTGAGTTGATTGGTATTATATTTGGTTTATATAAGAACCCATGTAATTTTGAGTTTTAATTTATTAATTAAAAATATAATTAATTAATTTAATGATGTTAAATGACATTTATAAAATAATATATTATTTTTTAAAACTATTAATTAATAAAGTAAACTTGGTCTCAATCACTATTTATCAGAGGTTTATTTTAGGTTCAAAAAGTGATTACATTCTAAATTAATATAAATATTATCCCCTTTAAAATATAATAATATAAACTAGATTTACAAATAACACATGTTTAATGTATGTTTATTTAGTAATGTTATAAATAAATATTTTTAATATTTGAGTACAAAATGAGTAGTTTTATTATTAGTACAACTTTAAGACAGTAGTATTGCATGCCTTAATGCCAATGCAATAAGTATAAGGTCCAGTTGAAGTTTATGTGCACTATCACAACATTTAATTTTGAATAGGGTTATGGTCAAAGTAGCTCTTATTATCTAATATCTATGCCTTAATGCTAGAGTACACTTTACCATAGTTAAGCATTTCTTATTTAATTGTGTACTCATTGCATGATAAAAACTATGATCATGTACAATTATGATATATTTAATAAAAATAAAATCAGGTAGTTAAACTCAATTTAATGAAATTGTGCAACATTTAAAAATAAAAAATTACTTAATTAGAGTAAATATATTAATTAGTATAAAATGTGGTGGAGGTGCGGGGTACGATTACACAACAAGATCGCTACCTCGCACATCCACCATATCTAAATAAACTGATTTTCTGTTTATAAACCAATCAATTCACATAATATTATGTTATTACAGTTTATAACTGGTATTATATATTAGTTTACAATTTATATATCAGTCAACAAAACTAGTGAATACTTTTCTACAAGATCAATTTAAATTTTAAGTTTACCCTAATCATTAGTATATTGGACAAAAATAATTTGTGATTGTTTTAGTAAAAACAAAAATGTAATTTCATTTTTCATTAATGATTAGTGATTCCTGGTCGTAAGAAAAACAAAAATAAAACTCAATAATAACACGTTATATTATGCATATATTTGTATGTAAATTTTAATTAATAACATTATGTTTTTATGATATAAATAAATTAAACTAACAATTTATTAATATAAATAAATATAATTGTAACAACAATTCAAAATTCCACCAGGTTCATTTAAGCCGTTCATTGTAAAACTATCGAGATGCGTGTCATCGCACCAGAGCAAAACCACCCGCATGAATCTACTGGACTTTGAGACCAAAAAACTGGCCAACGAGAAGATCACCATGCTCACCTGTTACGACTACACGAGCGCACGCATTGTTGCCGACACCCGTATAGACTGCCTACTGGTGGGGGATAGTGTGGCGATGACTGTACACGGCTTCAAACACACGGTGTCGGCCACCGTAGACATGATGCGCGCCCACACGGAGGCCGTGCAGAGGGGGGCGCCCAACAAGTTTATCGTCAGCGATTTGCCATTTCTCAGTTACCGGCAATCGTTGGACAGCAGTATACGGGCGGTACAGGCGTTGGTTCAGGCGGGCGCCCACGCCGTCAAACTGGAGGGCTCGGCCGGCAATCAGCCCCTCATCAAACATATTGTCGAGTCCGGTGTCCCAGTGATGGGCCATCTGGGTCTAACACCGCAGGCTGTGCTCGGTTTGGGTGGCTATCGAGTGCAGGGTAAAACAGAGGCGGCGGCTAAACATTTGTTGGACAGTGCGTTCAATTTGCAGGACGCGGGCTGTTTTGGTCTAGTATTGGAGTGCATACCAGCGCTGGTGGCCAAACAAATTACTCAGGCTTTGGCCATACCTACTATAGGTATAGGCGCCGGACCCTATTGTGATGGTCAGGTGCTTGTCTGGCAGGATATGCTGGGTCTGACCAATGGTTTGAAACTGACCTTTGTCAAACAGTTTCTCGATGGCGGCAAACTATGTAAGGAGAGTATCAATGAATACAACGATGAGGTTAAAGCGGGAACTTTCCCACAACGGGAACATTCCTATTGATTATGTGCTAACCCTAATT